GCACTTCAAGAAACAAGTGAAAACTCTAATCCCAAAGGAGGGACGATTCCGACCATGCCCGAGAATGATCCGAGAATGATCCGAGAATGACCCGAGACCGTCTCGCAACCGTCGTTCCGCAGACCTTGACTTGCCAGCTTCGGAGCCACCGGTTCCATTGAAAAATACAGCATTTCCTGCGTTCGCTATCTCTCCACAACGCATTTTGTATTGCGCCTGCCACGAAATCTGCGCATGGAGGTTCACAAAGTGCTGCACCTGCCACGAAATCTGCGCATGGAGGTTCGCAAAGTGCTGTGCCTGCCACCAAATCTGCGCGTGGAGGTTCACAAAGTGCTGCGCCTGCCACGAAATCTGCACCTGGAGCTGGAGTTGCCAGGAGCTTGAGCTGTTGAAACCAGAGCTAACTGGAGCTAGAGCTATTGAAACTAAGAGCTTATTGGAGCTAGAGCTATTGACACTAGAGCCAACTGGAGGTAGAGCAAAATGGATGATAAGTAGTGTATGATGAGTGGTGTATGATGAGTGGTGTATGATGAGTGGTGTATGATGAGCGGTGTATGGTGACTGGTGTATGATGAGTGGTGTATGATGAGTGGTGTATGATGAGTGGTGTATGATGACTGGTGTTTGATGAGTGATGTATGATGAGTGGTTGTATGATGAGTGGTGTATGATGAGTGGTGTATGATGAGTGGTGTATGACGAGCGGTGTAGGATGAGTGGTGTATGATGAGTGGTGTGTGATGAGTCGTGTTTGATGAGTGGTGTATGATGAGTAGTGTATGATGAGTGGTGTATGATGAGTGGTGTATGATCAGTGGTGTATGATGAGTGGTGCATGATGAGTGGTGTATGATGAGTGGTGTATGATGAGTGGTGTATGATGAGTGGTGTGTGATGAGTGGTGTATGATGAGTGGTGTATGATGAGTGGTGTATGATGAGTGGTGTTTGATGAGTGATGTATGATGAGTGGTGTATGATCAGTGGTGTATGATGAGTGGTGTATGATGAGTGGTGTATGATGAGTGGTGTATGATGAGTGGT